TCATCTCCCTCTGAAATTTTGATCAAACGTATATTTTACCGAGAACGCTAAAACTGTACAAAAAAAGTATGAGAAAAACAACCAGATTTGAACCAAAATGTGCATATTTTCACCCCGTATACAAAATCGGGAATATACTTCCGCTCGGGTCTCAGCACCCCTCCCCCCCCAAAAAAAGTGTGATGAAATTGAATTTTTCGTATTCAATCTCCGTGAAAATTCGATATCCCAACTCCCAATAGGACTATTCTAATTTTGAATAAAGCAGGGATTTAACTTTCGTGAGCAGTGATAAGACGTGATTTGGGTATTTTGAAAAAAGAATGCGGCCAAAATTAAGTTTCAGTAAAATAATGTCATTCTTGGAACGAGTTACAAACATTTTACAGTAGCAGGCGCGTAGCCAGGATTTTATTTTGGGGGGGGCCAAATGCGCATAGCAGCGTGAAGTGGCGAATCAGAAATCAGGGGCGTAAATCGCGTACCGAGGAGTGGGGGGGGGGATGATCGGCGATAGGCCATCATCATAGCTAGCACGAGCGTAAGCCCACAATAATTTACACGGACACACGCGCGCGCGATCGCGCCGCATAGGAACATACATACACAGCCACACAACAGGGGCGGGTCCAGAAATTTTTGAAAAGGGGTGTACCAGGAAGAAATATAGGCACTTTTTTTTGCTTAGCGTTTTTGCTGGGTGTTTTAAAAGCTGCCCGACGGCCACTTTGGGGGGGTTTGGGGGCTCCCCAAGATTTTTTTTTTTAAAAAATTGGTGCAGTTCTGAGAGCATCATCTGAGCAAGTAATTTTTGATGTCTACGAATGCAAAATTTATCAGATCCGGTCCCCCGAACACTCTGGCGAACCCTCTTTGCCCATCTTCTAAGTTTTATCAACCGAATTTACATATATATAAGTAAATCTTTATCAGAAAAAGCTAGGGCGGCTAAACAATGATTTTTTTCATGCGATGACGAATATAAGAGAAGTGTGTGTGTGTGTGGCGCGCGGCCGCGGGGTGTCGTGTGTGTGTGCGTGTGTGCGTGCGTGCGCTGGTGCGTGCATGCGGTGTTGTGTGGTGTGTGTGTGTGTGTCTGTGGTGGTGTGCGTGCGTGCGGCGTGCAGGTGCGCGCGCAGCTCGGCGTGTGATGTGGTTATGAAGTTTTTTTTCCTTTTTTGTTGGTAAAAGGGGGCGTTCCGGACCCCTCTGACGCCCCCTCTGGATCCGCCCTCTGCACCAGCACCACAGCACACACAGGCCACACACACACACACACACACACACACAGGCACGCACATATATACACACCACAACACACAACACACGAACGCATACACACACACACACACACACACACACACACACACACACACACACACACACACACACACACACACACACACACACACACACACACACACGTACATACATTTAGCCATGTGCGTGCATGTTAGTATGCATGTATAAATGTATGTAAAATTTGACAACCGTACGTTTGGCACGTGCCGTAGCCATGCCAGTGCTAGGGGGGTCTGGGGGCATGCCCCCCCAGAAAATTTTGAAATATTTAAGCCATTTTGGGCCAATATTTGAGCCGTTTTGGGGGGGGCGACCGCCCCCACCGCCCCCCCCTGGCTACGCGCCTGTACAGTAGATGTATGTCACTTTCCATTTGTGTAATAATATGACAAGTATGAATAGCGATGACGGATTTGTAGATAAATGTTCAGTATTTAGTGTCTGTAAAATATGAAATTTTTCCCCATTTTCCTCCTGAAAGTAGGGGGGATGATTGTACACGCCATCCCCACCTCAATAAGTGGGGGGTGGAGTTATATCCCCCCCCTCGCCATCTACGCCCCTAGCTGGTTGTGCGTATTTATATATTGATGCATTTAGTTTGCTGCTGAACCTAGAACTACGTGTATTTAGTGTATGAAACCAGTCTTAATCACAGTGATATATCTAAAAAAAAAGCCTAATAAATAAATATATGTCGTACACCTTGCTTACTTCAAGCAAGTTAATGAAATTAGCAGATTCAATGATGATGAACTTATTATATTGGCCAGTATATGAGAAAATATATTAAAAATATAAAATCATAAGACGTCTTGTTTTTCATTTGGAATTATCCTCAATGGATGTTGGTTTTTACCTGGACTAATTATAGTGGCTAAACGATTTAAAAACGCGAGTTGTGTAGAAAGTGCTGTGTAAACACGCTGTAAACGTGCGAATTTATTTTACTACTATACTGTTTACGGTAACTATTGGTCATTATTGCTGTTTACTACATGTGTAACGTAAAACCAGTGTTCATACGTAACATCACTTGTTTCGGAACATTCGGATTTTACCATTGTTATATTTCTTTATGAATAAATTTGGTTTTTTATGAAGATGCGGTAGTCGCCTGCAGTATCCTAAAAGTAAATTTTGTGAAGTCTAACTGTGTAACACTGTATTACAAACTCTACTCTGTCTAAAGTACTAAATACAGGGATGAGAAATTCCGCCGATTTGACAGCCGCGTGAATCGTGCAAATCCGGTGGGAAAAAAAGGAAAAAGAAAAAAAGGGGAAAAAAAAACATTTTTCATTCCTGGGGGTGATGACTATTTCTGTTTCAAATGGCTATTCCAATCAATCCAATATAATATAATTAATATTTGTTTTGACTTCAGCCCCAACCAATTCTGCCTGTTGTATGTTTAATTTGTTAAACTGCTAGAAAAAAAACTGCTTGTTAAACATTAGTGTACTGCCTGTGAACTTTTAACATGGTTTGAGTAAATTTTTATATCGCATGACAATTTTATATTTTTATTATTCATGCTTGAAAGAAATGTTACACTTGTTTTCTACCAGTTTAATGTATATTGTTAGCCATTATGTACAGTTGCTAGATTAGCAACATAAGGTCATGGGGAAGGCTTCAAATCTGTTGTTAAAATAATATTATATTACAAGTATGGCTTTTGCAAATACCTAAATTGAGCTAGAATGTATCTCCACATGGCCTAAAGATGACGTTACAGTCCATTTTTCTCAAAAAAATTGTGGGGGGCACCCCTCCCGCACCCTCCCCACTTGGCGGCTACGCCGCCTCGTACTTGTCCTTCGTTATCTTTTCCTCTTTTTTCCCCTTCTTGCTGTTCTCATCCTTGTAAATAAACATATTTTTCAGGATAGGGACCTACCTCACTGCAGAAAGCAGACTGCCTGAACGTTACTAGTATATAATTACTGCCAACCCTCCGCTAACGCGATAGTGAAGTCATTGAAAATAATTGCGTAAACGTAAATGCGTTAATCATGCAAATTATAATACTAATACTGTAGTAAGGCTGTTACCCCCTAATCGTCCATTAATACCAATTTCATAATTTTCGATATGCAGGGACACGTACGTGCGCAGTGTGCAAACCGTGTAATATTTTATATGGAGTGACCTACGAAATCGTGCGCATACGCGAAAGAATTCACTCAGTCTAGCGCCAACATTAATCGACAACTCTATAGATAACACCAGTTGTCAACTTTCCGTCAACAGGCTCAAATGTTTGTTGTCAGTCGCGTTATGTTAAGTGCATGACCGGATAATTATTTTAATGTTATTGGACCACATGCGTTACTCTAAAACCGAGTTACTTATACGTAAAGGTGATTCTAACTCTAAGACCATTACCACCGTGTCCAAGAGCATTGTTGGATCGTTACGTGTAGGTTACAACCATTACCTTGAGAAAATCTTCATATATACCATTTTATTGTCTGTTGTCTATAGAATTCTACGCCTCCAAAATCTCCCACCTAGACGAATCTGATGCCTTGACGCAACCGCACTTTGATTGGTAGTCTGGCAATGGCAATCTAAATTACGGGATATTTTCTCCGATGTTATTGTCATGAAGTGATACATCTTCGTATTAAAATACAGTCAAGAGCGGATAATACCTAGAGTGTACAACGGAAAAACGGGAAAATAGTGCTATTTCACGACTACATTATTCTACTTTGCCTGCGAGTCTAGAATAATTTCATGGTATTGCATTAAGCAGAATTCTTTGCTCTCTAAAACAAGACCAACCGCTTGTCAATACGATACTCCTAGACGGAGATATCGGCTCCTAAACCTCCCCTCCCAATGCCAAACGCCACCTCGAATCCACTTCTGCCACCATCCTACACGCGGGTAAGCATTTTGGCTATCGGTTTCCGTCACCACTTGGAGCGCTGATAATTGATGTCATATGCCCAAATTTGGTACTGTTACTACACTTAGTAACTGAGCTGCGTTGTAAAAACTTGATGGAGCCGGCTCCATCATGACGGGCGTTAGCCGTGCTAGGAAAGATAATGGAAGATAAGGGCATAGGCGATGCCCCCGAATGTCACCTATGATAACCGAAGCACCGTCCATTCATAAATTTATCGCGGAAAAACCGAACTTTCACGAAGCAACGCTTAGCCGCGTGTAGGATGGTGGCAGAAGTGGATTCGAGGTGGCGTTTGGCATGTGGGAGGGGAGGTTTAGGAGCCGATATCTCCGCCTAGGAGTATCGTATTGACAAGCGGTTGGTCTTGTTTTAGAGAGCAAAGAATTCTGCTTAATGCAATACCATGAAATTATTCTAGACTCGCAGGCAAAGTAGAATAATGTAGTCGTGAAATAGCACTATTTTCCCGTTTTTCCGTTGTACACTCTAGGTATTATCCGCTCTTGATACAGTGGATGTACTGCACGACATTTTACAGTACACCGGCCAGACTGCAACACTGATGGTGTCAAACGGGGTTAGACAAGTTTAGCCGCGATAAAACGCACTGCTCTTCACTTGTACCTAAGATTTGCAATGTGATAACCCACCAACATCGTTTCTAATATACCGCGTGCGTTTGCAGAATGTGCTGTACATATCAATATTCATGCATTTGAAGGATGGGAACTTGGGGTAAAAGAAACAATTGCATTATGAGTACGTCAACATGAGCCATATTGTACACAGACAAACAATTGGAATCAATCAAATTTATTTCCGTTAACCAAACATGCTAATAAGTCATGGAAATATCAAGCTTTCGCTGGACATCCGACCTCAATTGCAACCAAATATGAGTGACTCGTCGTATCAAACACCTATGTATATCTAAAACATGCACGCAAACGTAAAAATTCCAAAATCGTAGTTGTCCCAAACGTCATAGAAAAGTGAAACGTACATATGGAATCATATACACAACGTAAGTATACTTGGTTATAAGAAGACTCGCAGGACTGTGGAATCCCTACTCGACATATCCTTCTGTTAAGAATAAGAATCTGCTACCAAAAATGTCAGAAATATTGTCGGAGGAAATTACCATAAATGTCCCGCAAGTGCGTATTACGTGCTTAGTGCGCACACAATATAACAGCCATTCCACAGCCCCGCTACCTCCGATTCAGAATGCATGCCAGATGAATCGAACATAGTTACTTCAGTAGCATATGACAGTTATTAACCAGATTATGCACTACTGCCGTCGCATGCATACGAACCAAAACCGACTAAGGACATGGTAAGCAAATTGGAATCATCTTCAATAAAAACATTAACTACGTATGCACTTTATGCACGCTTGTAAAACTAAACGAAAAAGAAAAGAAATAAAACGCTCTAAAATATGATAAAGCAATGCAAGCAAAAGGTGTAATGTAGTGGTATTTCGAAAGCACGTGTATATAGTTCCTCTGAAACTAAATGTTCGTATTTAGGTTATCACCCTCCATTTCTAACACAAAAACGGCAGAACAGCGAAAGGGACACCCTCATCTATAGATAAGCAGCTAACCAGTTTCGCATAGCTGGTAGTTATTAACTAATAGTGTCTAGAACATAACGTCTGCAACCTGGGGCTTGGTAGTTGTGATAACCACTAGATCGAATTACGCATTGTCTATAACCCATGTAATCACAGGGTCATGCACACAAGCTTTAGTGAAAACGGTTTACACAAGTACTATTTAGGTTAACTTAAACGTAACACAGTTGCAGATACGTAAAGATTGATCATGCAGTCACAAAGCCAAGTTTCCGTTCATGTTTTCAATAGAAAAACGAGGGATCATACAGCGCTGTTCATATGCGTGAGACGTACTATGCAAGCTGCTTCACAAACCATTAGCAAATACCTCATATTCTGTTCTGACAGCAAAACGCACTGGCATCTAAATAATATATATTACGTAAGGTTATATTTTACTAAACTGCATTTGAAATCTTAACAAGTGAATTTAACATGAAATTTGTTATAATTGCACAATTAGCAGAAATTTCCAAACGACCTGCATGCACTTTGCGGTGTAACGTGCTAACTAGCAGATATCAATATTATTGCGTTTACCTCATCGTAGATGTTAAATCTTACCACTTCACAAAGACAAAACAATGTTTTAATTATAAATCTTTGAGGTTCCGTTTTAATAACTGTTATGCATTACCATTAGGTTCTTGCAGCACCTCTCAGAAACAATTTGGAATTTTTGTTAATGTATACTTTGCAAACAATGGCGAATACTGACATATGAACCTGGACCGTCCAAAACGCTCATGTATGTCTGGAATAGGAAAAACTGAAACAACTAAAGAATCTTCATTTGCACAAGGCAATGAGTGTTTTCTGCAGAACATGAATGCTAGCCCTGCCACCATTCATGGAAGTGAGAACATGAGCTCGCAATCTAATAGGCTTTGCATAACTATTATTTGACGCTTTCCAAATAATTGGTCGAATTTTTATAACTGAACACAAGAATCCCGTGTGAAAATGCTCATTAACACAATACTTGATTATGTGAACCTGCAACTTTCAGAAATAGGGATAGGAAAACCCCCCTATGATGCTAGGTCACAAACCCACTGCTATTATTAGGCCTTGGTTCAGTTTCATCAATAATGCATCAGTCACAACTTAGATTTTAAGGTGATATTTAACAAACAATTTTTTTGGCAAGAACTTGATGAAAGGGAAAAGTCACAAAAATAAACTTCTGGCATGAGTATCAAAGTTCACAAAGAAACTAGACTGCAGATAACCTGACCGTTCATAGTCACCACACTACAAATTGGCAGAGAAATGCGGTAAAAGCGGCCAGACAAAGGTCCAGTCTAGCTCCAAGGTGGTGTTAACAATGTGCTGTAGATAGTGTGTGCAATACAAAAACAGCAAACAGTGGGAGAGTCTTGCGCAGTCACTCCCACCCACCGCATTTAGACGGGAGGATCCCATCTAAATGCGTGTGCGTAGACTAGGTGTCGCGAGCAATTTGGAATGACTAGGTCAGGTTCGACTCTCTCTCCACATCTCTCGGACACATCACAGTTATGCTTAAAACCCTCTGCCACACTCCCTTTCCACTCTGGAACACTGGAGTACATTTTGGTAGCGGGACAGGGGCAAACAGGATGATTTCCACTTACTATATGATTTTTCCATTCGTATTCCAATTGCATTTCTCAATCAATGCAACCCAGTCTTGTAAGATCACGTCACTATTCCACGCTTAATTTTTTCCAACGGTTCCATAAACAATGCATTCTGTATTTTTCCAATAATCAACCACATCCTAGATCAACCCAGTTTGGTTGAAATGAGAAAAGAATTCAATTGAACTAGTTTGCAAGAATCTATCTACTAATTCGAATGCAGGTAACATCTCTTTGAAAAATCTGCTTGTTACAACTACACACAACATCAATTTTTAAATCTTCAATTTAAACATTGCGAACTTTAAAATATTGTAACAACAATACTATACTGATTAAATATGAAATTAAAGAAATATCATACTGCTCCAACACCACCCCATCACCATAATAACATAACCTATGATTTAACTTAAAGAATAGTGACGTTACATATTTAAATGATTCAATCATACATTATTAAATCATTAGTTGGCTATATGCGGCCCCATTTGTCTTCGGCTGTTTACAAAGGGTGGCCTACTCGGTGCAGTTGACAGCTTTGGCACAACTGACATTTTTATGAACTGCCAGCCTATCAAGGCACATATATCAACATCGCCCATGGTTGGCACATGGACTTTGGACGGAATGCAGTCACGCTGCTCCACGGTGGTCGCTGTGCCTGGTGTCACCTCACCCATTCCCACGGAATATCTTATCACACACTAAACAATCAGAGGTACCTACGAATGGGTACAGGTACAGATAAGTCTGTCATCTATGGCTATAATACATGACCATGCATGCAGCACGATATAGCCTGTGTAAACTGCTATTAATATCAGGAGTTCCTCTTTCAGATGTACTGGTAGAGCTCCGTAAGAGTAAGGAAGTGCAACAGGCCAGTGAATTTAACCACAATACAATACTATCCCCACTAAACATAATTTCAAATCCAACATTGCTGTTACCAAAGGAACATCAGCCATAAAGGACAGACTAGTAAATATGATTAGTATAGATCCGATAACATTTTTGAGTTACTTAGTGCACTTAACTTCTGGCAAGTAAATAATTGCACCTCAACTCACTCCCTCACTCATTCAAATCAATGCAGAAAGATACCAAGGGGAGTTGATGCTTGACAGATTAAAACTTTACTATATTAGGTTAAATCTTTTGAGTTAATTTTGTTTAATTCATGCAAGAAATCAAAGCAAGCTTTAAGAATGATCACAGAAGTCGGCCGATGACGATGTGTGGGTTAGAACTGCTGTGGTTGGGACTGGTACAAATGCTCCGGACGCTGCTCATACACGCCATACAGCTCTGGGTGCGCTAGCAATAGAAACATGCCAAGGTGTTAGTACTTGTTGCAGAGCTACAGTGATATGTTATGGCTTTTTACAATGCTCTCATTCTCATTCTCATTCGCTGTCGGTCTTGCACCCTCTCTCTCACTCTCTCTCTCTCTCCACCCTCCCTTTCTCTCTCTCTTGCTCTCTCACACACATACATAAACGCACGCACGCACGTACGCACGCACACACACACACACACACACACACACACACACACAATTATAATTTGTCGAATTGTTAGTGCATCTACGTTCACGCAGGGACATTCTAAGCAAAAATTACAAAGTTGCCAACAACCTAAATTGTTACGTAGCTATACAGAAAAAACAGAAGAGAAACATCAGAGCAGCGTCACAAATGTAGCCTAGTGTGCACATGCTTAGCGACTGAGGCTGTCATGGGAAAGTAGTCGGTTGGGGCGGATAGACAGGGTAATCAGATACAGTTTGGGCACGGTTTTCTGTATGGTAGGAGCCCAGCGCGCCATACAACGTGCATGCGTCCCCATATGTGTATGGCATTGCAGAAGGGTAGTACGACGAAGACTTGTAGTTGGGCGGCGTGTTTCCACGAGAAGAGAATGCCGTGCCATATGCATCTCTATAGGCGGACATGGCCGAGGCAGCACCACGTGAGGTGAGCGGGTCAGTGTGTGACGATGAGGCGGCAGGCACGTAGGAACTGGTGGTGAGTCTGCACGGGGGTGCCTGCGTCACGTAGGACGTTGATGCATCTCCGTACGAGCCTGGCACGGTCGTGCAGCCTGGACTGGCAGCAGGAGAAGTAAGGCTGTAGGCAGGGCAGGACACAGACAGGCTGGCAAGCTGGTTTGAGATGTCATCATAGCTGCCACTTCTGGACAATGGCAGCGGTGCATCTGGAAGGCCTGATAATGTCATATATTACAGACATATTCCGTCATGCAATTTGCTACACAGAACATCCAGAATTTCTATAACTATATTTCTGTAATATATTACACATATTTACTTCACACGTTACAATAATAAAATATACAATTGAACACTGCATTGAAGCACAAAACTAGTGTAACAAAAACATTAGGAAGCATGCATGTTTTTTCGAATTACAAAAATACACATATTTAGTATGGACCTACTCATATACATAAACCCATCACAATCCTGCCTCAACCACTAATACATGGCATCTGCAATCTGGCACCCTGAACATCACAAAAGCGAAAACCCAACAAAAGACCTCAACACATACAACAAAATATAGCAAGCACGCAGCTAACAGCAACATAACAATGCTCGTCACTAAGACTAGAGCCTACTACCAGCATAGAAACTACTCTGTACCGGTACGGATAGCACCATGCCGCTGATCACACCAACCTTCGACAGTCAGTCCTAATTGCGTCAGGACGAACTCCGATGCGAACGTCTTTGCTTCGTCAATGGACTTGCAAAGTTTTGCTGACTCAAAAGGCTGTGGAGATATGCCTGGCACAATCACCTATGCATAAATGGCATTGATACTGTTAGGGTTACGGACAGGTAACACTGTAAAGGGCATTGCAACATAACTGCTCATCAAATTCAATTAAACTCATATCCATTACATAAGAGATATGTCTCTCTACGCTCTTGATGAATTTTTTTTTTTAATTCATTGCTAAAATTGTAAATTTATACAAAAAAATTCTTTTTTTGTTATTTCTCAGAAACAGCAGAGTTGGGAACTAAACTTTTGACCATAGGTTGTTCATAATATCAGGAGTAGATAATAGGGAAGGAGTGTGACTTCAATAAACAAGGAAAATGCGTCATTTACTAGCCTTAGAATACCTACGATTTACTACGCCAAACTCAACCAACTTGAGCTCAAATCGTACACAGTACATTCGCCTAGCATCGTGCAAAATTGTTTCCTCGTATACACCCGCAATCCGGAGATACAGACGAAAACGTACGACACGATTATCCATTCTGTTGCCAGCAAACTGAATGTGTAAACCGCCCAACTCGAAACAAAAGGCAGCTACTAACGACTCGTGTGCACTCTTGCTCCCTCGGCGATGCGGTGTGGCTCGCTGGGAGATTGGACATCAATGCAACACTCGGCGAGCTAATCTTAACAACAGAACAAAGAGTAATGCAAGCCAATGTTCCGCGTCGCTGCACGGCTACAGTAGCACTCGCTCGTGGTTACAAAGATTAGCTCGCCGAGTGTTGCGTCTATGGTTTTAGAGGAATTAATTTTTAAATTTGGAATCAGAGTTGTCAGTTTAGAGAAATAGCGTTTGAAAAATCAGTAACTTCAGCATTTTAACAATGGAGATATTAGCACTTTTCTAAATTTCCCATGATTGAACGCCTGTGTTAAGAATTGACTAATGCGGGGACGTGGAACTGTTTGGGAGGCTACATACATAATTTCTACGTATACATAGCTGCCCATGGGTCCAATCTATAAAATAAAGTGGGTATTGAAATTTTGACAGAAAATCACCTCCACAGTATCCTTAAAGTGATTACGTCACGAATTTCTAGCACCATCAAGCAGTATATTTGTGTGTTATTTGTACAAAATAAAATGTATGAAAATACAATTAGTGTTTCTTTTTACTTTTCATGCTTATATACCTTCTTTATATGCCCTAATTTGCCGGTGAAAAACAGAGACGCCAGTATCTGAACAGTACTGGGGGAATAGTGTTAGACAACAGAAATTACCAAATCGTCTAGATTTTTTCAAATTCAACCAACGTAAAAACATTTTTATCAGGTGAGAGTTTGAGGATATATTTAGTAACGTTAGATCTTACTTTTAATGTAAAAAAATTGAATTTTTTTTTAAACAAATTTTACCATGGAAAATTCGTGACGTAGTCAATTTAAGGTAGTGCAAACTAGATACAACTATCACTTAATTTACAAGCCAATAATAATAGGTTAAATTAATAATTAATCAACTTATATTAATACCCCCGCAATACCGCTTTGTCAGAGCAGAAATGGAAGGTCATGGTGTGGCATTTTTTGAGTAAAGAATACACAGAGCACAAAAAATATGATGGAATAAAAAAAAAGATGAGATACGGTTTCCATGACAACGCCTTGACCGACGCACACAAAAATATGCCACGCACATCTACACATTTCATGGTGATCAAGTGTATGAAGTTTGATTGGAATCCCTTGAAAACTGTGGAAGTAGTTCGTGCCACAAACTTTTTGCAACGGATTGAACGCCCGACCGACCGTAGAATGACTCGTATATACCCGCTTCAAACTTCGTTTGCGGAGGTATAAACATGTACATAGCCATGGATACTAGGTGTGGCAGGTATTTTCGGTTTTGAGTTGGTGATTCAAAAGGTAACTTTTGGCCAAAAATTAAACTCACTGACTTGGCAAGGGATCCAAATAGAGTAACTTAATATAATTTTGATATCATACAGGGTTAGAAATGGACTTTTTCGTAGGCAGTAAGAGCTTGCTACCAGAGAAAGAGGGAGGCAGTGAACCCACAGCAGTTCCCTGGGAATCAGTTGGAATTTCATCATCGACCATCGGTTGGAGTTAATCGGTTGAATGTTATTAGCCGCGTTCACACGTAGCAAGGAATCCGGTATTTAGCGTTCACACGAGGCAAAATACGAGGCCCAAGAAATACGGTATCTAAACAGATTTCATGTAAATACGAGGCTTCCCAGACCCCGAATAATTTGCCGTGCGTAAGAAATACCGGATTTCTTGGACCGCGCATTTCCTCGTGTGAACGCTAAATATCGGATTTCTGAAGCCGCGTATTTTATAGACTGGTCCGCACTCGACAGTTCTAGTGTAACGCGAGTGGAACTGTCGAGCGCGGACCAGTCTACGTATTTTATCGGCAGTTGGTGCGCATTGCATTGTTTATTTCGCATTGTTCGCTTGATTGTTTAAAGCAGCTCGCAGCTCGCAAATACCGTATTTCTGGAGCCGCGAATCAGCGTGTGAACGCTCGGCCGCGTATTTGTCTCAGATACGGTATTTCGCAAATCCGGTATTTCAGAAATACGAGGTCTCGTGTGAACGAGGCTATTGATTGCGGCTGCCAGATATAAATTATATAATAATATATTATAATATTGAAATATATCATATAACACAATATTTTTTATAATACAATATTCTAAAAGCTATATAGCTTGCTTATGTTAGGTGTGGGTTAGATTTACTGTCTCCAAGCTGTAAAGTTACCCAAAAAAAACACAAAATGAAATAAAGAGTCATTTGATCAATGTTTGCACATTTTATTTTAAATGAAAAAATTTAATTTTTTGATTTTTTTTAAATAATTGATCATGTATTTTCATAATCAAGCGCTTAGTCGGTTGCTGCAAACGACTGACTTTCAATTATAATCGATCATTGGGACATCACTAATGATTGGTGTAATAATGGTCCACCAGATAGAAGTGGAGTTGATATTGGACTACAGCAAGTTCTGGTGAAGATGTTCTATTGAGCTACAGTGACATCCATCCTATGAATATAATCTTTTATGCCAAGGATTAGTTGCTTGTGATCTAACGACAAGCACGACATATGGCATGGATAGGATTCACAAGCAAATCTCCAAAACTGCTGCCAAGGCATTGTCATACAAATAAGAACACTACCCACTTATGTCTCAGGTTCCAAGGAATTATTCATCATCATCATCATCATCATCATCATCATCATCATCATCCTTGTTTATTTGTGGATGCCGTTTGGATCGTTATTTGATGACATATTATAGAGAATATTGCTGCAATGAATGATCTTGGAAATGAAAGTCCAATATCCGTCTATACAAGAGACTCGGTCAGCCATAACATCTGATCTCTCCCCCTAACAAGTCACCAAATAATTGCCAACCACTCAAAATATAGGAAATATAGGAGGTTGTGCCAAAATATAGGATCCTATAAAACATAGGAAATATAGTAGGTCTAGGAGATATGTTAGTGATAAACAAATCATATGGAAGCTTAATATTTTCGTTTCTGTTCAAGTGTATAGTCATTCTTGTTCTATTGTGTTGTGCTATATGTGTGGAGTTTGATCTAGGAACGTTTTATTTTCATGCAATATTCAGCAAAGCTAACCTTGAATAGATATAGTTGCACATCTCCATTGGGACCTGGGTGGTTAGCTGCAAACAGCATAAACTGAGGGGAACCCCAGTTATTTTTTACGCAAAATTCCTCTAGTACCTGTAAATGAGAATTATGACGACACATTACATACAGACACGTGCAGAAACAAACAGCTGTCAACTGAGAATGAAGTGGCTTGTCAGCCTAACTCAAGATTAAAAACCATGTTGCTTTCTATAATTAAATGTAAGGTGATGTAGCAATGACTCGCAAATAGATCTTCACTCTAATAATTATATATTTATTTTACCTGGGCTCTCATGTAAGATGCATGTTTCCCAGGTAAAAAGCACATCACGAAATCAGTGTAATAATCTACAATCAGAACCCAAATATGACACCTTTCTACACAACACCTACACGGAAATACAATTCCACAGCTTCATTCATACCTTCTAGCAACATGGTGTGACACCACTGGATGCCAGGGTAGGGCAGTAATAGTTTGCATTTTCTCACTACAAGATTTCTTTATTATTGGTATGTTATAATGGAACACATGCAATGCGAATGGTAATTAGAATGATACTGTAACTAGAAATATGTTCAGTTTGATAGTGCCAGAACAAAATCAAAAATGAAATTTGAGTAATGTTCACGATTGGCCCGGACTGGATCGATAAAGGATTTATATAAAAGTTAAAAACTCATGCCTACAATATTAAATTACTTAATTAAAGCCTTATATATATGCATACATATAAACCATTGACACACAATGACTATGCACTCTGTACTGCCGGATACACTACTAAAGAAATGGCTCGGGGTATGCAAGCACAAGTGCAAGTAATAACAATATATAAAAATATGCTTGTGCTTGCAGTACATTAGGTACATCAATCCATTTCAGACCACTGGCTTACTTGTGAATAATAGCAAGGGCTAATAGGGTGTACGTGTCATCGTTGCCATATACGCGCATGGCGCTGAATAACCACGTAAGTCCACCAGACAGAAATACTAATTTAACATTGTCGTGATAGTGCTTCAGAAGCTGGTAGTGCAGGGTTAGGAGGTATTTATTGGTTGCCCTCACATCCAGTGGTTGAACTACTAGACATCTAAGGAATATTACCTGTCCAGCTGGTTTGATGTTTTGTGGTTTCAGTGTCAAAGGGTTAATTGGTGTTAGTTCCATGCCAGGCAAGAGGTCATACAAACGGCCACCCTACATGCATGAAAACAATCGTGCAGAAACAGTGAGTTAGTCAAAAAGATTCATGCAGAAGCATTCAGTTAGTCAGTTTACTACCATCCATGTATTAAAGTGGGAGACCCTTACAATGAAATGTTCAGACACCTACCTACCATATATACCTTTTGGATACCTTCTATGAGTGCAGCTATGTTAAAGAAATGCAATTGTGTTCAATTGTATTCATGCTTTCATTATAAAAGGTTGCAAATTATGTCAATTTTTGAGAGAAAGTACAATAATAACAGCATTTAAACCTCGATTCCGAAACGCAGTGGTGTTTGCTTGGAGAAATGTGGTGAACGCAGCATTAGCAAGAACAATGAGTTTAAAACGTATTTCTTAAGATTTCCACAGATGAACATTTCTTCAACAGACAAGTTCACAAATCGCATGTATATCAATAAGCCCATGTCTCTTTGATAGCCCAAAATTAGACACAATGCATCGCATACAAAAGTCAAGGAGTTTGCAGGATGCTGCTGTACCACCCCAACAAGCCCCCGTTCTAAGCAATTAGCAACTATTCCTACTTGTTTTATTGTCAGCAAAACTACTTCACTTTCTGTTCACAAAACATTTCCCTTCAAACCACATCTGATAGTCCCATGAAGTACATCACTTCCAATCAGAAATTAACAGTTTAATTTTGCATCAGTTTTAGTAACACATGAGAGAGTGTATACTCTTTTCATGACTTTTGCACCCTAAAATAGATTTTACAATTCATATGAGAACTACCTCTTAGTACTTATTAAATACAACACAAGTTGAAATACTGATAAGAAAAATCACGTGGTGACTATTAATGTCATCTTCATTTTTCTGATTTATAGTAATGAATACCTTCTGAACAACAAAATGTTGTGACCAAATACTTCCATATTTAAATATAACTAAAGAGCAAGGAGCAAGATCTAACACAAGTAAAATCAGATGGTAAACAAGGAGCACAATCTAATACAACTAAAAACAGATTGTAGATGAGAAGAGTACAAAGGATTGCTTAAGAAACCCTTTAAAAAATGGAGCACAAACATTACTTGGTAGAAAATAATGGCCAAAAACAAAACAAAATTCTAATGGTGTGGAAGAAAGTATTGTGACATGCAACATAAACTTAATAATACTCCAGTTAGTGGTGAATACAATTCCAAACTCTTAGTAAGTGCTAATATTGTGTTGATTTTCAATAGCAGACTTATTACCTTACATGCCTATAATCAATCAATAGCTATAGTTTAGCCGTTAGCACCACCATTCTATAAGTAGGTACCTCTGTTGGGTGCTTCTGTCCTGCATAAGCACCCCTCCCCAAGGGTACATAAGCACGACCTCCACCTCGTAGGCCGGCTGCTCCCCGGTTGGTCCTCCCACGCACCATGCCTCGCGCTATTCCTCTCGTTTGCTGTGGCGATCCGCCTCGCCTACAACACAAGAATACAACTACGTGCATTGTCTATGCAACACAATTTTGAGGAACAATTTCCAATCATCAGGCATGAAAACAGGTTGAGATGTTTTAGAGGAAATATTTAAAGGAATAATATGGCCATTGATTATGCAATGTTGACGAATGCTAGAGTAACTGGCACCTTGTGTAGTTAAAGGAATAATATGGCCATTGATTATGCAATGTTGACGAATGCTAGAGTAACTGGCACCTTGTGTAGTTAATAAGTACATTACCTTATAGCCAAACGCGTATTAGTTTGTCCAATACCACTGCTGGTTACATTACAAGCAAGACTTGAAATCGGTTGTTGATATCTATTTACGTGCCGTAAATGTCATCCAGGAGTCAAGCGATAAGTCGTCGATGACGTAAACATTTGTGCGGCCAGTATGTTTTGGACGCCAGATGAAATGGAGGTGTCAGCTATGTAACCACGGCCACGGACTAAACATGGAAATGGAGTAAAACACACGTACTAATCACGGACGCACATGGACAGCCCTGACAAAAAGTTCCTTATCACGAGCGTCCGTGTTTACGAAATCACTGACTATAAGGTAATGTACTTATTAACTACACAAGGTGCCAGTTACTCTAGCATTCGTCAACATTGCATAATCAATGGCCATATTATTCCTTTAACTACACAAGGTGCCAGTTACTCTAGCATTCGTCAACATTGCATAATCAATGGCCATATTATTCCTTTAATTTCGTGCCGAAGGCATGATAACAGTGTGCGTAGCACACTGTGCTGCTAGGGGGGTCTGCATAGGGGCATGCCCACCCAGGAAATCTTGGAAATTTGGAACGGCAGATAGTCCATTTCCATGCATTCTGGGGAAAATTGTAAGTACATTCTGTTTTTAGTAGAAGACCATGCAATTTCGTGACTAACAATGTGTCTAGTCATTTTCTATGAAAATTTCAATGTATTATGTGGCAGTTAAATTAAAGCATGCCTTAATTTACATTACATAGATACACTGCGATATTTATCTGGAGTTCCGTTACTTCTGTGTGAAATTTGATGTAATTTTCCTGGCTTTTTATGAAGTTTAAATTAATGAAAGTGTCAATGACACTATTACCGCGTTCACATGGTAATGGTTTGGCTCGAGCTAAATGGGCTAAATTTGGCTGAGGCTAAATTTGGCTCGGGCCGGTTCGAGTTTACGTTCACACGTACGCAAGCGAATACATATATATTATTATTTAATATTTATTATTAAATTAATATTAATTAAATAATATTTATATTTATATTAATATTACGCAGCTATATATCTGTCGCGAGATGGCGTTGTGTACGATTCAGTGTTTACATCCGTTCCGAGTTCAATTATCAATCTTGAAAACATGTATCCTGATCAAATTTTTCGAATTTTTATACTGTTTTAGACTTTATTTCGTCGAAGTACACGTTCGACACTCGCGGCATCTACCGCTCTACCGATTTAGCTGGTTGCTAAAATTTGGCTCAGGCCTGGTCAGACGTTTCCGATGGAACCAAATTGGCTCGTGCTAAATTGGCACTGCCCCAAAAAACCGTCCGTGTCAATGCTCGGCTCGAGCCAAATTTGGCGTGGGCCTCATTAGGCTCGGGCCAAAAACGTCCGTGTGAACGCGCCTTATAGCTCACCTTGGGTGTGATAGGAGAGGGAGATGATATTTAAAATTTGGTAACTGTTTCATTTATGACGGACCAAAATGTTATCAAATGTCCTTATTCCCTGTTTTATACTAATAGAAATTTCACTGTTTTGTTTCAGGGTTAGTTTTGATGCGAAAATAAATGTTTCAGATCTGAAAGTCTGAAATCTGGGCGAGAGATGGCGCTACGCCTAAATGATTGCCATTTTGGTTTTCGATTATCGTGCAAATAAAAGCAATAAAATATTCCAGTCAAATTACTGTAAGGCCAAAACAAAATATATGTGTGGTTACCGTTACATGCCGAAAAAAATAGGGTAGGTAGGTAGGTAGGGAAAACATTTTATTTTCTTGAAATATTTTATTTACAAACCATGTCTGAAGGATGTGCGTTGTGCCTTTTGAAGCAGGAACTGTCCTTTTTTTTTTTACTTTAAAGAAAATTGACAATAAAATGTTTAGGGTTGCTGGGAATAAATAGGGTCGGTCGGGAAACCGTAACCACACCTATATTTTATTTTGGCCTAACGAAGAATCAAAAACACAATATTACACGTAGGTATGATTAGGTAGGTAGGTAGGACGGTAGGTATAGCCATAGGTAGGTAGGTAAATTTAACAAAATCGAATGAATCTAGATGGACATTGTCAATTTTTGCCAAAAAGTGAGCGTGGCTCAAAAGTAGGTCGACTGGCGTGCTCCAAAATAGGACATTCAAATCCCTCCCATAGGAGTAACAAATGTATGCAATATGAAACATGTGGGTCAAACGGTTATTGAGTTATCGTTGACCGTAGGCACACACTGAAGTGCATAGTGAAATTGGCAAAATCTACCTAATTTGCATAATTTGAAAAAAATATCAAAACCCTGTGATATCTTTTGGGGCCAGTCATTATTCATTCACATACCAGAAATTTGCAAAATCCGTTGAACCTGAACTGGCTTATGGCCATTTCCATTTTTGCCAAAAAGTGGGCATGGCTCAAAAGTAGGTCAACTGGCATGCTCCAAAATAGGACGTTCACATCTCTCCCATAGAAGTAACAACTGTATGCAATTTGAAACATGTGGGTCAAATGGTTCTCAAGTTATGGTTGACCGTAGCCAAATGTTGACGGACGGACGGACGTACGACACCCAGACCTGCCAACCCCATCTGATGATCATCAGTAATAATTATTGGATTTTTCCGTAACAAATAGGCATTTGTCAGTAACACCTTTTTGTCAGTCTTATTACAGTATAATAATAACATAATTAGCATAAAGATGTCATTTGGCAGTTCCACACATACACACATGCGTTTTGATGCCATTTTGCATAAGAACAGTGCACTGCGCAGCACCTAATTTATCTCTCACGGTGATTGGCTGAAAATAGCCTTCAGTGCGGTACTACTATTCCTGGATCCGTGACGTCATTCAAAATGGCTGCGCCCATAAACCAGAAAGACGAGCGCATAACACAGCATAATTTACCATTTTCAGTGAGTACCGTTACGTTTTAAGAGCTATTAGTCTAAATCTACAGACACAGTAGTCATGTTACATGATAATAGTTGATTTTACACTGTGTTTATTTCTTTTTTTTTGCATTAAAAAATATAAATTTCAGAGATTTCTTGCTGTCCGTAATTTTTCGAGGTCGTCCGTAACACCGTAATTTTGACTCGCGTCCGTAACAAATTACGGGCAATACGTAACAGTTGGCAGGTCTGGACACCCCATGGCAATAGCTCATCTTGACGATGTCAATGTGAGCTAAAAATGGCGTCCATTTTGACAAAAAAGCTACACCTTACCCTCCCTAAACTTTTTATTAGTTTTTTGGCATCAATCTCAAGAATGACTCAAATGAAAACTAAAACCCGGAAATCCGCGAATCCGCAGAAAATTCTCATGCCTGAATCATGCAAAACAGTCAAAAGAACACTGGCAAATCAATCCAAAGATGCTAATTACTCTCAGATTGGTCAATCAGGAAATTGCCATGGCAACAGCCACCACAAAAACTGCACTACACCAATAAAAATATGAAGGAAGTGTGAGAGGCCTACAGACATGTATATGTTAAGCAAATATTTGTTTTACCCAGTGCCAGACAGAACTTGTGAACCTGTATCGCTGAGAGCTTACAGCTGGTGATATCAATGCAACTACCATCTAACTAATATCACACCATCATAAGACTTATAAACTGATACATTGAACTAGAAAGGGCAGTTGTCGCCAACTACATGTATCCCCCGTGATCTAGTATTAATGAAATATCTCTGTAATGACGTATGAAATATGATCAAGGTTAAGGTCAAGGTCAAATAAAAGCTGCAGTGACGTGGTTTTGATACGCGACACATGTTCTCCCCAAGATGTGTATGTATACCAAGTTTGGTAGCGCTAGGTCAATTAGGGGCAGAGTTATAGAGCGGAAGGGAAATATGGTCAAGGTCAATGTCAAGGTCAAATAAAGATCGCAGTGACCTGGTTTTGATACGTGACACACCTTCTCCCCAAGATGTGTAAGTATACCAAGTTTTGTAGCGCTAGGTAAATTAGGGGCCAAGTTATAGAGCGGAAGGGAAATATGATCAAGGTCAAATAAAGGTTGCAGTAACCTGGTTTTGGTACGCTGCGCACCTTCTCCCCAAGATGTGTAAGTAGACCAAGTTTGGTAGCGCTAGGTCAATTAGGGGTCGAGTTATAGAGCGGATAGGAATGTGTCTGCGGAGGCGGCGGCGGCGGCGGCTGGACAGACATGAAACCATAGTATCCCCGCCGACTTCGTCGCGGGGGATACAATTACTTTTAAGCACAAACTGTATTAATCAAAAACAGGCAAATAGGCATTGTATAGTTCTTTAAATAAATTTTACTACTGTATTGAGCAAGAAATATTCCATTACCCAGCAGCAGGAGTTGTGACAAAAAATCCAGGGGTGTTGGCTGTATATGCCATCTGGTTGCTGTCAAATATTGGCTGGTAACCAGTGAACTGTGGTTGATAACTTGGTCTATCTCCACGGTAACCATATGCATAATAGGTGGACTTGTCTGGAGGCTTAGCTAGAGTGACCTCTATCTTCGATCCATCTAGAATCGCACCTGGGAAGAGGCATTTGAAAAAGGTCAACAGTATTATAGTCATAGTATAGCAGCAAGATAATTTAGCAGTGAAGTAGTGCAGTAGGGTTTTCAGTCAACTTTCCTCATTTACTGCACTGTGGTAATGGACATGAGACCAGTCTCACCGTTCATAACCTCCATCGCTTGCAAGGCATCCTCTCTAGTAGCAAAGTGGATGAAGGAGAAGTCTCGCATCTTCTTCACACGTTCGACACTGCCCTCGCGCAGCTTCACAAACACTTCTCGGATCGTCTCCTCCGTCGTGCTTAGCATTAGGTTCCTCACATAGAGAACCTTCACCTGTGAGTGAACAAGTGACAACATGAATGCAACATGCAGGGATGAGAACAGGTTGAGATGTTTTTGGAGGAAATATTTCAATTCGTGCCGAAGGCTAGAGTGGTCTGCTATGGTGGTCTGGGGGCATGCCCCCCAAGGAAATTTTTGAAATTTGGAAGGGCAGATAGGCCACTTCCATGCATTCTGGGAAAAATTGTAAGTCCATTCCGTTCTTAGTAAAAGACCAATTTCGTGACTAACAATTCAAGTGTTTTATGAGGCGGTTAACTTAAGGATACTCTCCACGTTGTGCACGGGTATTGCTCTAGTGAGGATTAAACGTTTATTGGCGAATGAATCTAATCAATCACTTGTTTTATTTATAGAGGAGATATATCTCTATGCTCAAGCCAAAAAATTTCATGAAATTTCCAGCACCTAATTATGTT